TAGTTGTGGAAAACAGTTGTTGCACAACAGTTTTGCGATAGTTTAGTCAAAGGTGTGCGCTATTTAGTATTTCAAATGCGAAAATTTTGTTAGATGGATGTTTGTTAGAGTTTGTAGCCTAAATTGCTGAACGAATGAAATTTGGCATAGACGTAGAGCATAGTCCGGAAGAACACATAGGAAACCAATTAGGGTTTTAAATCCCTTACGGACGGTATCGTCGTAGAAAGATAGTCGAGACTATCTATAAGCTCATTAATTAAGCTTATATAATCACTAGCTGTTGCCCGCGACTTCGTCTCTTGTAGAAGTAGTCTATATTTTCTAGACTATGTTTTATATCGTCAAAAATCGAGTTCTATTTAGATTTTTTATTGTAATATGGAGTATTATAAGTATTAATGTAATGTTACAAAAAATGACCATTGAAAACAGAGATAATCGCTAGTGCATTGGGTTCAAAAATCAGTCAATGACCTAAGTGATAAAACTTCCTGAACGACATTTAATTTCAAGGTGAAATATAAAACAGCAAGAACCAATTCTTCCGATATACATTTAAAGGGATTGTGTGAAAAGTGATCATACTAATATTATAAACTAGCTTTCGCCCGCGACTCCGTCCGCGTGGAAATAAAAAAAAACAAAAGTGGGCCTATGTGTTCTTCTCTCCTATGACTATCCTCTACATCTATACAAAATTTCAACGAAATCCGTTCTGCCGTTTAGGCTACAAACTCTAACTAACATCCATCCATCCATCCATCTAAACTTTCACATTTATAATATTAGATGAGAAAGTTTAGATGGATGTTTGTTAGAGTTTGTAGCTAAAACGGCTTAACCAATTTTGATGAAATTAGGTACAGATATAGAGATAGTCTGGAAGAACATATAGGCTACTCACTTTTGTTTTTTATAATTTCACGCGGACTCCCGTGCGAAATCTATATATAACTAAATTAACATTTAAAGGAAAACTAAAATCGCTTTTATTATCTTTTCAAAAACGTTAATCTTATTCAATTGCAGCGAACATTTTTATTTGTACTACATGCCTATATTCTATTTACCTAAAAAAATATTTTTTTTCTCTCTTCATATTTATATTTCTTTTAAACTAGTTATCATATTATGCGCACACCTTATGTAGGTAACCTTTTAATTTGTACCTTGTCAATATGCATTCTCTTTTGCAATATGTTTCTGTACGGATTATTTCTTTTTTTATTATTATTATTATTATTTTGTAATCGTATGTATGTAAATTTATAATTTTTGCCTATCCACCGCTGATACTGACATGCGGATGATCTCAGGGTTCTCGCGGAAGATCAGCGCTGGGTGCCTCATTGAGTAGCACCCAGCATTCAAAGCTGAGCGTGGACCCAATCCGGCCAGCATCACAATGATTTATAATTTTTTATTTAGTTAATTACATTTTTTTTTCCCCTACTTAGTTTCTACGTCATGTTTGTTTGTCTGTTATTACTTCTGATTGTGTTGTTGCTAAGGATTAAATGTCATTTCATTTCAAATCTAGTCTTAAAGAAGTGAGTGAAGTCTAAGTTAAACAAACATTTGCTCTAAAAAAAATTTTGCAAATTCACGCTACGTTTGAACTGAACAGTTAGACTCTTCAGTTAAAATTGTCGAAATAGAACAGTCCGTATTTTTTTTTACACTCAATTAGAGTTCAAAGGTCTAGTTTTTATCTTGAAAATTTTTTTTTTTATAACATAAGGTGGCAAACGAGCAAGCGGCCACCTGAATCCGCCAAAATGGCGCAGCGACCGCTGCCCATAGACATCCGCAATTGCAGATGCGTTGCCTACCCATATACGACGGAGGAGGAGACGCACATTAAGAGGATACTTTCCCTTCCTATGCATCTCCTCCACCGTCAAATCCACTTCCCCTTCCCATCTTCTTATAAGAAAAGGGTGGTAAAGAGAAAGGGACTTAAATTAGGCCTCCGGCACCACACTCATCAGACGAAACACGGAATTGTTTCCATTTCACGCCTGTCTTCTGTGTGGTCGTGGTATTACACCGGGCGTGCCGACCCATTCGTGCTAAGATATTAAAGCGGGCACTACCACTGTAATGACCTCTTACATAATTAACTAATCATTGATATTAATTAATTTATTTGGCAAAGTTCATTTTGTAAATATTTATTTCTTGAAGTTAAAGTTATTACAATTAGTTAATTCATTTACTTATTACTTAATGTGAAAATAAATAATTAACATTGTAAATGATAAAGAAAATTATTATATTGCAGTAGAACCTCGGTAACTTAAAAACCTTTATAACTTCAAAAAATAATATCTTCCCTTCCCATCAGTGCCCAAAACCTCTGTAACATAGACTCTTGATAACTTAAAACCTCTATAACTTAAAATATTTTGTGTTTCCCTTGGATTTTAACTTATCTAGGTTCTACTGTTTTAAAAAATGCTATGTTTAATATCTAAGGTCGGATTCCATTGTTGATACAAAAAAAAATGTCTGCGTTTCAAAGTCTTGTGTAAGTCCACTTTAAACTCCTTTATGATTATTCTCTTTCTAAAATCATATTTATTTCCAAGAATATTTATCAGTAGATAAGTCATTCAGGTTTTAAGAATTGTTTGTTATAATTGTTATTGTTTACATAACACGCTATGCCATCTCAACAGCCGTTCACATAGACCGAAGCATAGAGCATAACTGATTTCTATATCAAACAATATTGAGCTTTATTGCATTCGAACAAGGTTTAGTTTTTCTTTCCAATTCTATTAGACGTTTGGTTTTGATAAGTAAAGACGTGTCAAGTAAAATTAAACCTTATTGCAATCGAGTAAAGCTCAACTTTATTTTTTAAATTTTATATGATATATGCTCCGGTCTGCACGAATGGACCTTCAGGAATACTTACTAAACGCAGACGCTTAATATCCATACATTTATATACAGTACATAACCATTGTAATATTTCGGTTAAATAGCCTTTATTGTCATCATTTATTTTAGTCATTTTCCTTAAAATAGTGAACTGTAAAGAAAAAGAATAAAAGTAAAGGTTTTGATAAGTAAGAGATATATTATCTAACATTTAAATCGTGCGCACACCTGTGATTAAACTATCGTACAACTGTTGTGCGATTGTTGATTATTATGCAGCCAATTCAACTGTTTACTTGTACAACCAAAAATAGAGTAGTATGCGCACCTTCATATAAGATCATAGGAATCAAAGCGCGACTAAACGGGATAGTTTAATAAAGGTTTTTTTTAGTAACTACTGTGAATTTATTTTTCTCTACTGATTAAATTTTGGATGACTCAAATGGAACAGTTCTCTGTAGGGAAAGGTATGACAATGACCCGGTTTCGGTGTTTCGTTACAAGTCTTATGTCACGTACGCACACAACTAAAATGTAATTTAAGTCGCACGCACATCCGTTGACGGTTGAGAGAATGATAAACATTCATCTCTGACGCACTATACTGGCGAATGAAATTTGAAATTCGAATTTACTATTTGAAATAACAAATGAAGTGAACGAGACAGGGGATCCACAGTTCCAATGGTAGGGGTCATTCGATATCATTCAAGCATAGGTGAATTGATGTAGTTTAAGCTTACAGTTACTGATAGTTCCAACTGAACATTCGATGTATGTAGCGAGCTTTGTATAGAAATTCGTACGTCGTCGTTTATCGTCCTAGTAATGTATTCTACTTAATATATTATATTTAAACATCGTGTAGTAACGAAATTTATGCGTAACGAATATAAAATATCACTTGACATTGTTTCGGATTTTAATACAAAATCATTGAAAACACTTTAAGACAGTTCTATCACTGCACCTTTATAAAATAGGCCATTTAGGTTGGTAATAAGTGTTTAAATCTGCCAAACAATAATTATTTCCGAACTTAAAACAATATGCAGATGCAATAAGACAAATAAATGACCAGGAGTTACTATTTAGATATATCTCATCATATTTTCAATTAAAAATAACTAAAATATGGTTCAATAACAAAAGGTAAAGTATATTAAATTTATTTAAATCCAGCTTTTTGTGTTTTTTTTTTTCAAAACAAAATTGTTTAGCAAATATATTATCAATGCAGGCAAAGGAAATACGAAAAAAATATCGCCATGTAAATTTAAATAGGGAATTCCATGAGTAATTTACACTAAAATTTATTAGTTAGCGTTATTTCCTTTTATTTACAATCTGTTTCTTTCCTGAGTGCGGTTTAGTGAAATGATAACAGTTTTCGATAATTAATATTACAATTGTATGTTCCATATATGAGGACAATATACAATAACCTCAATAAAACAAGTTAGCCTTGTGACATTGTTTATGTTAAATGTACTCGTCGATTTGACGAAAATGTATTCAACTCGATAATCGTGTAGGGGACGCATATAAAAAGGATGTTTCCCTTTCTATTAGTCTCCTCCACTGTTAAATAACTTCCCTTCTTCTTCTTCCCATCTTTTCCTTCATAGAAAAGAGTCTAAAATTTAACCATCACACTTTCGCTTTCAAATTTCACGTATTAAATTGTTAGTAAGGAATCATTTAGTGCTAAAGAAAGGACTGTAATATTAAATTAAGATAAACTGGCTTACGTTTTTTACAATTTCCTTTGACGGACTTGTTCCGGTTTACCGTACGCGCCTCCTGTTTGTAGTCTTTTAATTGTTTATTATACAGATGGGAATCTTAGAGCTTACTTTCCCGTCATACCATTTGATTGATATTTTAATCTCAACCCTTGAAGGTTTTGGCTCACTTACATTATGTCAGGCTTTAACTATAATATAAATTGGGACGCCTGCAGAACAATGAAAGCAAATCTACTGTAAATAATTCACATTATTTTTATTTTACACCAAAAAATTTAATGTCAACTTATCGAGTGATGTACCAATGTTTTATTTGCATTATTTAAAACTAAGATCTAACAATATATTTATTTCCAGGTGAAAAGATCGATAATGTTAAAGATGGCGGACGCGTGCGCCGACACGTCGAAGCAAACTCGCTTCCACGAGATGCACGTGCAGCGGCACAACAACGTCAGCATTCTGTACGCGGACATCGTCAACTTTACACCACTCTCTGAACGACTCAGCGCCTCAGATTTGGTTAAGACACTCAATGAACTATTCGGAAGATTCGATCAGATCGCCCAGGTATGACATTTACTATCACTGAAGTTGAATCATTTATTGCGCCTGTAAGAAATTCAAAGCAATCCCCTCGAATTAGGATTTAGCGGCATTTTTTTATAGGTGCAACGAATACTATTAACAACATTTGTCTACGATTTACACTAAAACTAACAGCCGGTTAAATTTATAGAAGGTAATGGGAAACAAACACAAAAATTTATTAGTCACGAAACAGCGTCGTTAGTAAAATTTTGTAAAACTTCTAGACAGGTACAACGGTAAACTGTGAATAGACAATGCAAAATGAATATATTAAAACTTTAAAACCGTAACGTACAACGATTGTTATTTATTTTAGTTTCGTCCGGAACAACTAACAACGGCAAGCTATTGGGCTTTTGTTAAAGTTACAGTTTGTTTAGGCTGGAACTAAGGCAGTACTGAAATGTTTTGAACATTGTTAACAGTAACAACAAAATCAATTTTAATGTATAGTATAAAATATAGCTCAGTAAAATGCTAGCTGTAAATATATTAATTAATCATCAAAGATAATAAAATTGTAATAAGAAATTATGATACTAGATGGCGCTGACAACAATTGTAAATTTATTTACTTTTATTTAAAAGTAAAAGTATATTTGGAGAAAATAGTAACATTATTTCTATAGCAGATAAGTGTAAAATTGAAATTATAAGTTGTTAAAATATTGTGGATAAATATTTTATATCATACTGGCCGCCAAGAAAACATTAGACAAGATTTAAAAAAACAACGCTGTTTAGGCGCGAATGAAAATGCAAAATGTAAAGCCAGCAAAGTTGTAACGTTTTTATCTTTTTTTTATATAGTGTGTGTTTATCAGCAAATAAAGAAGATTTCATCAATGGTACTAGTTTACATTTATAAATTAAGTGACGTAAATTATATGTTTTCTTTTTTTAGAGATTTGCTGAAAATACGTGAACTATCCTATCCTAACTATTGTTATAAAATAATGTAACAAGAGATTTTCTTATGATATACATATCGATTATGGAGATTCTAAAAATGAAAAAATGCTGAAATTTAGAAATTTCTCACAAAACTGATTACAAATAAGCCGGTATTCCCTCTTTTTATTTCGATGTGATAATTGGAAAAGGTGTATTTTAGGATTATTTTTGCCTCGTGCCACTCTTAATACTGAAAACAGTCTCCCAATAAACATTCACTTCCAATTTTTGAAGGTACTTTATCGTAATTTATACAACGACCCGGATGTTTTTCTTTTTTTAGCGTTCGAAAAACGGTTATCAAATATTTTAATATTGTAGGCAGTATTTTTTTTATTTTATTATGACGAAAAAAGTAATTAAAAAGGTGTGCAATACAGATTTGCTTAAATAGTTTTAATCATTTAGTTGAAATTTCTAGTTAATTCTGAAACTATTAACGATGAAAATTTCACAAGTATTAGTATGAAAATTTGTAACAGAAATTTCCACATATTCTACGTGGTTAAAGTTTCTCACGAGAGTTCTGTTAACACTAGAGTTAAGGCTTCCAGTCGAGACTCGGCTTGTTCAAATATTTGAGGTCTGCTTAGGGAACTAAGTTTAGAACATGTTAGTGAATTTAACAAGCATTAGGGGATTTTTGATATCGAAATCCCTTCGTTATCTTTCACGTGATGCCAGTAAACTAATTTGCTGGTTAAATTTTAGAGAACTTAAAAATGTCGATGAAAAGTCTTCATACAAAAGCAGAGGCACATAAAATAGTACTCCCTTTAGTAAGGCTACTAAGCAGACTCACATACAAAGGAGTGCTTTCATGCAATCGATGTCAAGTACATTTGAGAAACTTTTAAGAGTTGAAGATCGATCAAATAATAAGTATAGTTACTATAGATAAATATGTATTTTCTATTATTTTGTAAAGTTATTTCTGTTAATTCAAAACAAGCGTAATTATTTTAATTAACACACCGAATCTTGTCATCAAATGTCAGCGCGTTATTAATTAACTTTGAACAAACATAAATTGTATCCGAATGCATGTGAATTTTATATCGTGATGTTAAAATTTAGTTTATTTTGTGTGTTATTTATCTGTTGGTAATAATTTATTAAAACAACAGCAAACATTTCGTTTACCTTTTAGTTATTTATTACTAGTAGTGTTCGCGACTTCATCCGCGTGAAAATAAAAATATAAAAAATAGGTCCAGTAATTTTTAGGTTATTTTAATCATACTAATAATTTAAATGCGAAAGTTTAGATGGATGGATGGATGTTTGTTAGAGTTTGTAGCCTAAACGGTTGAACGGATTTCGATGAAATTTGGCTATATACTGTAGCCTGTAGCCTAAAATCTATAGTCACAGTAGGTTGGCACAATTACTTGTCCTTTACGGTTAGATAGTTTTGTATTCCTCCAAGCGTAATCAGCGATAGTGACAAGTAACATTTTTTAAAATAAGTTCTGTAAATTTTGTTTTTATTTTTGTATTTTTTTTGGCCAATAATTAGTGTTTTATTCTATTTTTTTATATTATTTATTATAACAGGAGAACCAGTGCATGCGCATCAAGATCCTCGGCGATTGCTACTATTGCGTCTCAGGGCTGCCAGTGTCGCGGCCAAACCACGCATACAACTGCGTCAATATGGGCCTGCAGATGATTGACGCGATACGGTTAGTGTATTCTCTCTCTTGTATTCATTTCCCTTAGTAATACTAGCTGTCGCACGCTTCTTCGCCCGGGTGAAATTAAAAATAATAAAAAACATCACCCTCTAAACTACTCTTTATCATCTTCCTCTTTATCCTACTCCGGTAGGGTCAGCGCAACAGGTTTTTGTCCTCCAAATAACTCTATCATACGTCATCTTAGTCATTACTTCTTTTTTGATCATGACACTTTTCACGAAACCAACCCTTTTTTTCTAGGTCTACCTATTCCCTACCTGTCCTAGCCTTTGTTACTCAAATATAAATTACCTTTCTAATGGTGAAAGATATTTTAAAATCAGCGAAGTAGTTTTTACGTGAATCTAATACATAAATCTTTTCTCTTTGTAATATTAGTATAGATTTAAGACTTGTTATTATAATTTCGTTAGCCATTTTATCATAATAAGCTTGGTTTTAGGTTCGTCCGCGAGGCAACCGGTTTCAACGTAGATATGCGCATTGGCATCCACACGGGCAACGTGCTGTGCGGAGTCCTGGGGCTTCGGAAGTGGCAGTTTGATGTCTGGAGCGACGATGTCACGCTTGCCAACCACATGGAATCAGGAGGGATTGCTGGGTGAGACAAACTAAGTAATATTAATCACTGTTATGCTGAACGTGTCTTTTCCTTTGTAACTTGTATATAGCCGTCCCTTTCAGTATCTTTGATTAAAAAAGAGATGAACTTGGGATTGTATCAGTGTTTTTCAGTTCCAGTGACTTTTCTCTGTTGTTTGGTGCAGGACATAATTATAAAGGATGTTTCTAGAACTGTTAACACTTAAGGCATCAAGATCCTTTATAGTGGTAATAAACTAGGATCGTACTATAATTGCAGACGTGTCCATATCACTAAAGCGACTATGCTGCAGTTGGGAGGTAGATTTGAGGTGGAACCAGGAGAAGGCGCTTCTAGGGAAGGGTACCTTGCTGACCACAAGGTGGAGACCTACCTTATCGTACCTCCCAGGGTAAGTAATCACATAGTGTTTTTTATTAACTAATTTTTACATTTATGTGATACTAGCTTTCGCCTGCGACTCCGTCCGCATGGTATAAAAAAAACTGAGTAGTCTATGTCTTCTTACAGACTATCCTCTACGTCTATGCCAAATTTCATCGAGATCCGTTTAGCCGTTTAGGTTACAAACTCTAACATCCATCCATCTAAACTTTCACATTTATAATATTAGTAAGATTTGATGCTTTTCAAATCCACAATATGAATTAAAACGCCAAAGGTCAACAGTATCGTATTAAATGGACGACAAAATGGACAAACAAGCAATTTGCATGACATCGTGCTTAGATTTACATGTAAATTAGTCAAAGTGATTTTTCTGTTTTACGCAGAATTTTGCTGATAGTCGAATCGCATTAGAATACTTAGAAAATTATCTAAATTGTAGGAGAAACTAAGTAAATAAAAAATATAGACAAGAAATATTTAAAAGCGACAGAATTTCAGCCGTCAATGTTTTTATTCCCAGTTGTGTAACTTATCCAAACTCGAATACGTTGTACATTTTTGAAACGCCTGATACAGAATTCTTAACGAGCCGAATCCGTTCTTGCCTTACCTTTTGAAAATGAATAGCAAAAGAACTTTTAACTTATACAAATTGCGGTCTCTAATTAAAAGTTTACTGAGTATCTTGAAACTCTTGTCAGATTTTTTCTTTACATAAGACATGATATAAGTACTTTACAGTTGATGTTATATTTTTTGAGAAATGCATACTATAAAATTATGAATCTGTATTTTTGTATGTATTGAAATAACTCAAAAACTACTGGGCTGATTAAAAAAAATCTTTCACCATTAAAAAACCTACGTTATTTTAGACAACATTTAATTGATACTGTCGCTTTAAACTCAGAGCAACACTTCTCGTCCAGACCCAGGTCAGGTTGCGCGCCATTCTATCCATACTTCTAGTGTCATTGACAGCTGTCAGCTAGGGACATCACGTTTATGCCGATAATCTAGAGTTGCGCCGATTCTACAGCACGGTACTAATTTTGTTCCTAACAGTTATCAGTGAGTGACATTGACCATCTTTTTAATTTCACGCGGGAAAAGTCGCGAGCAACAGCTAGTTCCTAATAAAAAAGGATTCTATCAGACATGTTATGTAATTTGAAATTGTATCAAAGTGTACTTACTCTTTTCACTTAAAGATACTTAATTTAGAAGAAGAAAATGCGGTATAGCTTTTTCTTTTTGCTTAATCTTTAACTTAAATTGTTTCATAATGTCCCTATATATTGAAGAATCTTCCAGAAGTATATTTGAAGTAATCTAAAGACAAGCACAACTTTGGCCCATGATTGATGCTTCCTGAGAGATGGTGCTTTTAGCGATGTCGTGAATTATTGCCAGAAGATGGATTACCACAACTATAGTGGGAATTACTTCTTACAAAGTTTTTAGTTGCTAATAAAAATGATTTATTGGTAATGACACACCTTTGTACTTAAAGTTACTGCTATGTTAAGAGTTATCTTACTTCTTACTCTTAGTAATATTATAAATGCGAAAGTTTAGATGGATGTATGAATGTTTGTTAGTGTTTGTAGCTTAAACGGCTGAACGGATTCCGATGAAATTTGGCATAGATGTAGAGGATGGTCTGGAAGAACACATAGGTTGCTTATTTTTTTAATTCCACGCGGATGAAGTCGCGGGCGAAAGCTAGTTAAGTCATATATTGGTCGTATCGTTCTTATTTTTAACCTCAATCTTACTACTTATAAATAAGTCAGTTTTTCAATGTTTTAAAACGTTAAAATTCAAACACAATAAGTGCTAGCTAGAAATAAAAATAATTGAGATGGTACTGAAAATAAATATAATAAAATCACACCTAGATCAAAGTACAAGGGGAGAATCTTAATTACGAATACAGCGAAGAAAAAGGAAAAAACCTCTGACGTCAATTGCCGCGTTCAAATGAAAGCGCTGAGGTTAATACCGACGGAAGTGCGGATTTAATGTTTTCTGCAGGCATTGGGAAAGACATTTATAGATCTACGACTCGATAATTAATATTTTTTTCTTATTCGAAGCAGTGTTAACTATTTATTCCATATTGAAGTGAGTTTATCATGCCAACAAAGGACCAATAAATAAGGTACTAAGAGTATAATTATTTAAAATTCTCTCGACCATTCGTAAATCGAGAAAAACTTTTTTATCCATCCTAAAAAGCTTTATAAAGCTTTAATTAAAATTGAATCTCTGACAACAATTAAGATGGTTGGATATCGGAAATGAAAAATCTTGATTAAAGAAAAAAAGATTTGAGCGTTTCATTAATATTTTATTTATCGTCTCGATCTCGTCTCGTAATGTCACCGGCACTCGCACAATCGCAGATAGTCCGCCATTTTGATCTTAAAATTAAATTAGGGTCCGCAAGCTGAGGATTATTCAGAGCAATTTGTCTGAGTCTCGTCCGACTGGCGACAACTTGATGTTATTGTGGTCACAATGTCGGAAGCTGTTACCGTTTTAATCCAATTTGTTGGGAAGTTGGAATATTGTGATGTTTTGGTTCACCATTTTCAATGTTATAATTGATTACTTCGAAACTGTCCACTCAGATATCTTGTAATGTTTCTTGGATGTTCTTGAAAGGGAAAGTTTGTACGCAGCTGTTTGGTAATTACTTTTACCATAATTACATTAAACTTTAGTTTTATTAACATTTGTGGTACATATTAATCTTGGCAAACTGAAATTATCTGAATTCAGGATATCACCTTTTTCATATTTTGGGTTTGAGTGAATTGAGGTTTTACAATTTAAATTTTATGTATTACAATATTTACCCCTTTCTTTAATCTTTCAATTTTATGAAACGGTCAACATAATAAAGGTTGAATTCTGAAACCACAACGCTATTTATTATCAGTTCCAATTTCCCGATGTAATAACCAAGTAATCTTACTCTTTGATTGGGCTTATTAACGATGAAAATTATAATTCCCAAGAAAATTTAGCAGGATACCAACCACTATTCATTTGACTTATTCTATAAAAAACACTAGATTCGTTAATTCTAAAACAAAACGATTTAACTTTAATTCTATGACACTTTAGGGAAAATAAACGTATCGAATTTCATCTCAATATGAGTTTTTATTGTTCATCGTCTTCCAGAAACCATCAGGTGTAGCAGAGAACGGACGTCTGTCTGTGTGCACAGTAGACCGTAAGGCGAGCGTCGTCTCCTCCTTATACCAGGACGTGTCACCGACCAAGCCGCGGGACAACATCAGTCCTGCTCCCTCGCAGCACAGCTTTGTGGAACAGGAGCCCACTAAAGTGCTCAGATCTGAGTCTCTACGATATCCTGGAGGTAAGAATAGCAAACTTATTTGAACCTTATTAAGGTCTGCAATTTTTTTAACCGACTTCAAAAAGGAGTAGGTTGTCAATTCGTCTGTATTTTTTTTTTCAGAAATCAGTCGTAGAGCATCAGTTAAAGTAGAAGGACCTCGCACTGTTGCTTTTGAAAATAACACTACAGGAGAAGGACTCGGCAATGGTGTTACAATCAGCACTAAACCGAAGAGTCGAAGTGGATCCATTATTGGTGCCATCAGTCCTATCATGGGCACAGGTAAGATAAAAACACGCAATATGTAAACATTATTTCGAATTCATGACGTTATGTTTCTTTCTAGGTTTTGATTACTTTTATAAAGATTCATTTTAGCAATATCTATAGAAAATTCTTAGTACGTTACTTTAATTATTCTCTAAAAAGAGGAAGGGAAGTGCATTTGACATTTCTTTATCAAAAGGATTTTTCACTTGGAGTCTTCAACCAATAATTACTAACATAATTAGATCTTAAAAGCTCGACATGGGAAGTCTAAGTAAACAACTCAAGTATACAAAACTTATAAGATTTTAAGTACAATTATCGATATTTAATTATGAATAAATTTATTTACAATTATCAAGACTAAAATTAAGCAATTAACTTGTCTATACCAGAGAAGTCTAGACAAGGCTATTTGTTGTTTATTTTCAATTTAGTTAATAAAGCTACTTTGAAATAGATTGAAGAATATTTTAATATTTATTGAAATAATTTATTGTTTAGAAAGCGTGATTGATTTGCACCAAGATGTGGAAGCAGCGCGACCAACGCTATTCTTTAGGATGATAAGTACAATGTCGATGGAATCTCCCAGTTAGTTTTTAACACAAATTAGTTTGCTCCCCTGTTGTAAATAATGTGTTTAAATCGATTTGTATGTAAACAAAATTCAAACATACAGACAAAACTAAATACAAGATATAACAATACAATTATGGCAAATACATTTTATAAATAAACTTTTGTCATAGCCTGTGTTCTTACAGACTATGTTCTATATCTGTGCTAAATTTCATTGAGATCTGTTTTTCATATATACATTTTTAATATTAGTATGTTTGTCCATAATTCCACTTTTTAGCACAGATAACACATTTATTCATGAAGTCCTGTCTATTTATATAAATTGCACCAAAACTACACAGGTTGTTTCTGTTATTGTTTCGTGTGAATTTTACATATGACTAATTTAGTGTCAGCATGAAATGTTATGCACAAAACACCATTTCGCACTTTTGATGTGTGACGTCATTTTAGTAATAAAAAAACTGACATTCCTTACTCCTTATAATTACAAAAAACGCAAAGTCAATCAAAGTATAATACCTACGCATAATTTAATAAAATAATGTCTTTTTGACCGACATCCCAAAAGAAGGAGGTACTCAATTCGTCTGTTTTTTTTAATTTTTTTTAAGTCATATGGTCGTCATATAAAAAAATTTGTACAATCTTAATTACTCGAAATAATATCAGTAGAAAACGCACGCGACATTCTCTTGTTAAATTTAATTAACATTATAATTAAAGGTAACCTTGATGTTTTCTGATAATAGGACAATGGTATACTTTATTAACATTATTTTTACAACGTAATTACTTTTGTCACTAAATGCCTTTGAAATGCGTCAACCACATTTTTATTGTAACACATAATATGTTTCCTTATATTAGAATCGTAATAGGAAAATCATTCAAGAATTACGACTTAGGGCCTTTCGTGAAACGAATATACCTTCGAACGCCGGCAACGCATCTAATAGTTTCTCTAGTATTGCGGTTGTCCATTGCCATCGATTATGCCATCACTAAAACATAAAGGCATATAATAGATAATTTTTGTCCACATTTTAATATATCATCACCATCACCACCAGCTCACTATACGTCCCCACCGAGGGGCTCGGAGCCTACCCTAATACGGGGTGACTAGGCCATAGTCAACCACGTTGGCCAAGTGTTGGTTGACTTCACACATATCTTGGAATTTCTTCGCCGATATGAGCAGGCATCACGATGTTTTCCTTCACCGTAAGAACGTCGGGTAAATTATGTACATATGAAAAATCGAAAATCACATTGGTACATGGCGGGATTCGAACCCAAGACCTGTAGATTACAAGTCAAGTGCTTAAACCACTGAGCCACCGACGCCCTACATTTTAATACACGAAGACGTATTCATGATACTGTACAACTATTTGGATTATAAAACAAAAACAGAGTAACGAACAATTGTGGCATGCCTTGTTTACGTTAATCAAACATCTTGTACGTCATTGTATTTCAAGCATCTACTTTTTTTCTATTGTCTATGATATAATTGGTTGATGTTAACAGAGCGATGTTATGCGACGAGATGATAGGGATATAAACCAGAAAGAAAAGAATAAATGTAGATGGCTACAAAGGAAGAGGAAGACCGAAGAAAGTATGGATGGATTGTGTGTAAGAGGATATGCTTAAAGAAGGAGTGGATTCAGATATGATGGCTGATAGAGATGTATGCAGCACATACTGTGCCGACCCTAATAAGGGATAAGGGCAAGTTGATAATGTCTAAAGAAATTATAATTTTTCATTGCAGCGACTCCCGGCGTGCCTTCCCGATCCCGTCCTTCCAGCAAGATGACTAAATACGTGGAATGTTGGGGCGCTGATAAGCCTTTTGCGAATATAACGGATTCAACACTAGCTAAAAACATCGGTATATCGGTAAATGTTTTTTTTTGTTTTCTTATAATTAATGTTAAATTTTAAGTCTAGACTAAACGAACGAATATTGTGGAAGTCTAATATTTATAATTCCTTAAGAATTTTAATATCTATACTATTATATTAAAGCGTAAACACACACTTCTTTGTTGGTAAATATTTTGGATAACAACTGTAATGTGGGAATGAGAACTTAAGTTGCTGCCAACATCAAGGAAACAAGGTTGCAATGGATTGTCAGCGTCATGTCATGTCATTTTGACATTTGTAATTGATAATTTGACATGTAAACAATAAAATAAAATTTTCATAATTTTGTGTGGATGAAGTCGCATGGGAACAGCTAGTTATATCGTGAATATGACAGTTTAGCTGGATTTTTGTTAGATTTTATAGCTTAAACTAATAAAAGGATCTCGATAAAATTTGTCATAAGCATAGAGAACTAGCTTTCGCCCGCGACTCTGCGTGGAATTAAAAATAACAAAAGTAAATAGCCTATGTGTTCTTCCAGACTATCCTTTAAAAATTTATATTATGCCAAATTTCATCGAAATCCGTTAAGCTACAAACTCTAACAAACATCCATACATCTAAACTTTCGCATTTATATTAGTAAGATAGTCTTGAAGACATAGGGTACTTTTTAAATCCCCGAATACGCAGTGCTAGTACTTTATTTATTTATTTATAAGTACACCAACAGATAAGTTATAGACCAGTTATAGGTATACATTGTTAGAGAAAAAAAATTACGGTTAGGTTACAGAAAATGTGTAAGAAACAAGATAAGTGTTTTGAAACGTAGCAATGGCATTGCAGAGCCTCGCTATGATAGAACAGAACCTGCTGCCGCAGCGCACGTGCTGCGAGTGCGGCGGCAGCGCCGAGGGCATGAGCAGGGCCACGCTGTGGTTCTCGCGCGGGGACCAGGAGCGCCAGTACAGGGACCAGGCCGACGACCACTTCAAGTACAACGTGGCGTGCGCCACTGCGCTCTTTGTGCTGCTGGCACTTATACAACTGCTCACCGTGCCTAAGTAAGTAGATACGTGCAACATAGAAGATCTTAGGGCCTGTCCCACCACTGATAGAGGTAATAGCTTAAAAATGACTTCACACATAAGGAAAAAAATCCCGATATCTCGTATTTTACACGTTCGATTGTTATTAGATAATTTGCAGTTTGGTGGGACAGACCCTTAATAATATTGATGCGAAAGTTCAAGTGTTTCTTAGAATTTGTAGCCTAAACTGTTGGAGGGATCTCGATGGTTTGTATAGATGTTGAGATTCGCGGCCAAAAGCTAGTAATATTCAGATGGACGTTTGTTAGAGTTTTGAGGCTAAATGGTTGGACGGATTTCGATGAAATCAGGGTAGATGTAAAGAATCGTTTGGAAGAACACGTACTTTTGTTTTATTTTTCTTCGCGAAGGCACAAAGCAAAAGCTATTTCTAAATAAATCTGAAACAGACTGCATTTCGGAATAAGAGTGCAAATTTTTTTTTTCTTCTTATGTGCCGTTAAATTACAATTCTCTTCTCATTATTTTTGTTAAAAGTGTAACAATTAGTTATGAGGTTTTCAGATATTTTTATAACATTAAAAGAAACCATAGAAATTAAAAGACCATCTGTTATGTTTCTGCAATAATTCTGCTAATTTTATAATGTATTTGTATTTTCCAGGAGTATAGTAATGTACGCGGCGTTCGGCCCCACTCTGCTGACCCTTATTGTGTTCGTCTACTTGTCGTGGTGCGATGGACGCTTCGCCTTCTCCGACGTCCCTGATGATTACGACAACTGCTATAAACCTGGACAGGTGAATATTTCTCATTAGTATTTTTTATAGATACAACAAAAATAACATTACATATTTCAACCTTCCTAATATAATAAAATATTTTTAACTAGCTGTTGCTCGCAACTTTGCCCATGTGAAATTAAAAAATATGCTACTCACAGATAAATTACTTTTCTAACGGTTATAGGAATTTTAAAATCTGCCCAGTAGTTTTTGGCTATTTAATACATACAAAAATACAAATAATTCCTCTTTATAATATGGATACCACTGTTTTATGTGAATACTAGATTTGCCTGCAACTTTGTCTCCGTGGAATTAAAAAAAAGAAATAGTGAGAATTCTTTGTGTTCTTTCAGATTATCTTCTACATCTACACCAAATTTCATTAAAATTTGTTCAGCTGTTTAGGCTACAAACAAACATCCATCCATATATCTAAATTTTCGCTTCTTTGATAGTAGTAATAGTAAAAAAAAATACAAAAATATTAGAATAGTAATATATAATATAGAATAAAAAGAATTGTCATACCCCTGGTGGGACTCGAACCCACAATCCCCGGCTTAGGAGGCCGATGCCTTATCCATTAGGCCACAGGGGCTTATGCTTCATATTCTGAATACATTTTGCTCCTTTGGCCTTATTTAACGTATTAAAAAAATTGATTGTGAACGAATTATTGCCCGCGACTTAGCCCGCGTGGTATTAGAAAACATACGAACTATATAAATTACAAAAAGCTACGTATCCCAGGAACCGGACATTTCTCGGGGATGAATCTTATCCCATGTGTACTCCAGACTTTGTTTTATATCTGTGCCAAATTTCAATAAGATATGTTGAACCGTTGCAGAATGATCGAGTAAACATTAAAAAACTAAATTAATGAATCCCACGGGAACCGTAACTATTCCCGGGATAAAAAGTAGACTATGTGTTCTTCCAGACTATGCTCTAAACCTGTGCTAAATTTCATGGAGATCCGTTCAGCCGTTTAGGCTACACACGCTAACAAACATCCATCCATCGTAACTTTTGCATTTATAATATTAGTAAGATTTATTTCTATAAAATATGATTTTTATAATTTCAGGTTGTGGCTCACAATTGCTACATCAGATTCACAATGTTTCTGGTGACTGTACTTTTGATTAGTTCCTGTGCTGTTATTAACCTGGTAAGTATTTAAAAAAATACTATAAAACAACTAAACAAGCTGTTGCTCCCGAATTCGGCCACGAGGAATTTAAAAATAATAACATATACATTTCTAATGGTCCTTTTAAAATTGGCTGTGTAGTTTTTACGCGAAAAAATACGAATATTTCCTCTTTACAATATTAATATAGATGAATCATTATAAATTGCAGTTCCAAACATTCCTGGTGCAAGAATTTCCAGAAGAAGTATGGAGTACAAGTAACAGCACCAATTCAGAAAACATCACTGGAGTTCCTCTGTTCGTGGACGTCGATTCAGCTCCGGTGAGGATATTGAGTTTTTTACTAAAATACCAACTTATGGCAAAATATTCGGCGATGTACAGTCGCGGAAACACGCGGTGGTCATTTAGGGAAAATTGCCTTGTTCATAAAATAAAAAACTTTTTATTTGTCAAGAAATCTCTAATAAATTCTTAACTTTATTAATTCTTAATATTTTATTAAGATACATTTGACATTTATCACTGCCTAGCTGTTCCCATGCGACTTTATCCGCATAGAATTATAAATATTTCATTTTATTGTTTACATCTGTCAAATTGTCAATAGCAAATGTCAAACTGACATGACATGACATGACAAACCATGACAACCTTGCTTCTTACTTACTTATGGTCTCTTTCCCACATTGGGGAATACAAAATATTTACCCCTAAGTTAAACGGCGTGAAAATATGTAGCATAAAGCGTGACGCAAGTGTAGGGCTTTTTATTAAAAAAAGAGTTATTCGAAAATATGCTGTAATTGCTGACATCTTAGGCAACAAAGAAGTGTGTTTACGCTTTATTATATTAGTATAGATTTATATTTGCTCGTATGTTATTTCCAGAGTTTCATCTACAGCTCGGTGCTGACGCTGGCTTCAATATCAGTGTTCCTGCGCGCGGGTTTCCTCCTCAAGCTGCTCCTCATGATCCTCACTCTCGTCTGCCACATCTCACTCTTCGCCTCCGCTGAACTCTTCAGCCAGTACCAGAAAGGAGAGATAGATACAGAGTAAGTCAAAATCTATGCTTAATATTATAAATATGTAAAATTTCAATCTCTGTATATATTGAAATATCTCTAAAACTGGAGGCTTTCAATAATTCAGTTACAATTAAGGGTGAGTTGCATCAAATCGCCGGTTATCGTAAAAGTTATAATAGGGTTACAAGTGCAAAAACATATTCTCACAGAGGTTTTATGTGTTTTTCGTTTTTACAATGGAAACATTTAAACCTGAATGTCACTAAAGTGTCAAGTTGGTGTCAAGAATGACATTTACGTAAATTAAAATGTTTGGAAATTCATGTTTCGCCGTATATATTTATGTATCATACGCATGGTATTTTATAGTGACATAAACTTTTTGCCCACGGAGATGGAGAAAATGGCACTCTTGAGAAAATAAACTAGTTTGGGCCATTATTGAAACTGTATTTACTTTACTACTCAAATATGTAGCGCCAAAAATGAAGCAATAAAATTATACAAATATAAATGCATCTTATTTATTTTCCATATTATATGCATATTATAAATTCCTGTCAATGCATATTATAAATTGTCCTTTTATGGAGTACATTTTTTTAAATAAGAGAAAAGGGACAAGCGCTGTTGCTAAGGCCTTAGACACTCGAAATTTGTCCAAACTGAATGTTTGGCCAAATTTCGAGTTCCATCTTGGAAATCCATTATTTCCGAGCACGCAAGACTTTATTCTTCTGGATTACGTATAGGATAATAGTAGAGATTTCCTTTATCCATTACTTTTTCCATTACTTTTTCCATTATTTGTACTTTTGAAGATAAGAGCTTGTGACAGTTGACACTACCGAACTGACAGTAACCGTAACGCTAACTATAACCGCCCAAAATCGGGCGGTTATGATTAGTGTCAAATATGACGTCATTTTGACCAGCGCAAAACTGGTGTAGCGAATATCATGAACATCCGCAGACGTAACCATCGCGAATGTGCTGGTTAAGGTTTATAGTTAGTTAATGTAACTCTCCCTTAGTAAATTTTAAGGTTATTCCAAATATTACCGTTACAGATAATTTTAACTTTAACGGTAACCGACGATATGGTGCAACTCACCCTAAAAACTATATTATCAGCGAGTAACAAAGGCAATAACGTAAACGCACCTATTACCGACCTATTTAGAAAACTACTATTTACCTGCAATGTATTAAAGTTACACAAGTGGTTGTTTTGGAAAAAATATAGATGCATTTATATTGCAAATATTAATCTCTTGATTTCGTCTGTAACTCATCGATTTTAAGAATAATTATTAAATTCGTCCGTGGACTCCGTCTGTAGTACATATTCCGTACTGTGGCGTCATTGACCACGTAAGTGCTCTCGTTTCTTTGTTAGAATATTATATCATCGAGCATTTTAATGTAACTTTTAGTTCTTTTCATGCATATTTATTACTTTTAGGAACACAAATATTAATATATTTTCATGAGATACTGCTTTATATTGCTTAAAATTCGAAATTAAAAATAGGCGGTAATAGGAACAAAAATTAATGGGTATAATAATGGGTAATTCAAAAGAAGAGACTATACTAATCCAGTTCCTTAGTATGTTAACTTGTATTTGAGCTATTAACGCCATATGTTTAAAAGCACGAGAGGCCGTTAAAATAACTACTTTTTATTATGTCACGCGGACGAAGTCGCGAGCTACAGCTAGTTTATTCAAAACAAGTTAATTGAGATATTGATAGCATCTCAAAGCCATAAAAAACATTTGTATCTGATCAAATAGTGAGTAAATTTGATACTTCTGTTTTCGATTTCGATGGTATCTTTAAAGAAATTTTTGAATAGTAATAGCAACGTGGTCCAGGTTCTCGATGCTGCCGTACTCCGCGAAGGCGGGGCTGGTGCTGGTGTTCCTGGCGGCGCTGCTGCACATCCTCGACCGCCAGATCGAGTTCACCTCGCGGACTGACTTCCTCTGGAAGGACAAGCTCAAGGTGGAGCAGGAGGAGGTCGAGACTATGAGAGGAATTAATAAGGTATAGTCTATCATATATCATATCATATCTTACTAGTACTATAAATGCGAAAGTTTAGATGTATGGATGGATGGATGGATGTTTGTTAGAGTTTGTAGCCTAAATGGCTGAACGGATCTCCATGAAATTTGGTATAGGTGTAAACGATAGTCTCGAAGAACACATAGGATACTCACTTTTGTTTTTTTAATTCCATACGAAGTCGCGGGCAACAGCTAGTACTAATATAATAAAGGTCCTTTAAGTTGACATTTTAATTGTGGTCTTAGAATTAATTTCTAAATCGATGGTTTTTAAGTATATAAAATGATTCTTTTCAGATTTTACTAGAGAACATTCTGCCGGCGCACGTTGCTGAACATTTCCTCACTTCGGTTGCATCAGAGGTAAGCCGCATATTCCCCTTAAAATAAAGGGGAAAATTTACAAAACCGTCGTAAGACCTGTCATGATGTATGGATCTGAATGTTGGGCAGTGAAAGGGACGGATGAAAGAATACATGTAGCGGAAATGCGAATGTTAAGATGGATGTGTGGGGTAACACGATTGGATAAGATACGAAATGTTATATTAGAGGAAGTTTGAGAGTAGTCCCAGTGGTTGAGAAAATAAGGAGTAAAAGGTTAGAGTATGAGCATTATGAGAAGGGATGAATCGCATGTAACAAGACGGACGTTAGTAATAAATGTGGAGGGGTACATCGGTAGAGGTAGACCTAGAAAGAGATGGATGGATTGCGTGAAAGGTGACATGATCAAGAAGGGAGTGATGACTGAGATGACGTATGATAGAGTGCTTTGGAGGACGAAAACCTACGGGAGTAAGATAAGGCAAGGGAGATGATGATGATGATGATGGTAGCATCAGAGGTAAGGAAATTTGATAAACTTCGTTGTATTCTTGATTTCTTCTTCATTGATGAAAAATTTAAAAATAGCACAGTACAGTTGAGGAAACTAACGATGTTTTCCCTAAAACCTAAACATTTTAAACATTTTGAAACGAGACGCGATTCATCCTCGAACACCGCAGATTTCCGCAATTGTACATACGCCGCAAAATATCTTGAAATACATGTTTCCTTCGACACAATTACTATGTTGTTTTTAAGTAACATTTGTTTTTTTTTTGAGTTGAGAAAACGACCACATGAGTCCGCCAAAATAGCGAAACGACCCATAGACATCCGCAAATATAGATAGAGCCTTACCTAAAAGACGGAGGAGACGCACATAAAGAGGATATTTACCCTTCATATTTATCTCCTCCGTCAAATCTTTTTCTTCCCATCCTTTCCTCTTAAGAAAAGGGTGGATAGTAATAGGGACTAAAATTGTGTTCTACAGGAAGATTTATACCACGAGCGGTATTCCAGCATCGCGGTCATGTTCGCCTCCATCCCTAATTACAAGGAGTTTTACGACGAGACCGATGTCAACAAACAAGGCCTTGAATGCCTTCGATTGCTTAACGAAATCATATGCGACTTTGATAAGGTTATAGTTCATTTTATTTACTAGCTTTTGCCCAAGACTCCATCTGTCCAAAATAAAAAAAAACAGAAGTAGCTGTGTTCTTTCAGACTACTTTCTATATGACAAATTTCATCGAAATCCGTTCAACAATTTAGGCTATAAACTCTAACAAACATTTAGACTTTCGCATTTATAATATTAGTAAGATTTATTTATATAAGACTAGCTTTCGCTCGCGACTCCGTCCGCGCGGAATTAATAAAAAATACAAGTATCCTATGTCTTCCAGACTATCCTCTACATCTATGCCAAATTTTATCGAAATCCGTTTAGCCGTTTAGACTACAAACTCTAACAAACATCCATCCATCTAAACATTCACATTTATAATATTAGTAAGATTAGTAAGATTGCCAAAAAACATGTTAATATATACAGTGGTTTAATTTTATTTAAAAATCAGATTTAAACGTATTTTATTTATATTCGTTAAATTTGACAAATTATATAAAGGAATTCTTTATATTTCAGTTGTTGTTAAAACCAAAATTCAGTTGCATCGAAAAGATTAAAACGATTGGCAGCACTTACATGATCGCTTCAGGTTTGAGACCTGGCAAAGAAGAACAATTGGTGAGTTTTTGAGTTATATACTAGCTGTGCTCGCGACTTCGTCCACTTAAAATTTCATAAACCATTTAACTACGTCTTAGTCTTTGACTTCAAAAATCAAACAAAAATATGGGACCCACCTTCAAGCATTTTTGAAAAAAAAACAAATATCAAAATCGGTAAAAAACAAATAAAAAAACAGACAAATTGAATACCTCCTTTTGGGAAGTCGGTCAAAAATATAGCCTTTTTTAATCAGCGATGACGTAGTTTTTTAACGGTGAAAGAATTATCAAAATAGGTCCAGTAGTTATTGAGTATTTCAAATTTCAATACATACAAAAATACAAATCTTTCTTCATATCAGTATACTAGCTGTTGCATGCGACTTTGTTCGCGTGAAATTAAAAATAAATAAAAAAAACTCATATATAAACAACCTAACAGTGATAGAATTTTAAAATCGACCCAGTACTTTTCGAGTTATTTCTTTATAGTTATTAGTAGATTGTACACTTTGTATGGTTTTATTTATATTACTTGAACAGGATGCGAACAGAAAGGAAGAGCACACGGTGGCAATCCTCGTGGAGTTCGCGATCGCTTTGATGACAATTCTAGACCAAATAAACAGGGAATCATTCCAGAGGTTCAAACTAAGGATAGGTGAGTGTTTACATTATTTTTTATATAAGGAGTAAGGTAGAGTCCGCTTTAACATCTTCGCACGAATAGGCCGACTCGCCCCCAGCAATACCACGACCACACAGAAAACAGGCGTGAAGTGGAAGCAATTCCGCGTACATTCTGATGAGTGTGGTGCCGGCCTAGTTTTAGTCCCTTTTCCTTTCCACCCTTTTCTTAAGAGGAAAGGATAGGAGGGAAAAGTGGATTTGACGGTGGAGGAGATGCATAGGAAGGGGAATTGTCCTCTTTATGTGCGTCTCCTCCTCTGTCAATTAGGGTAGGCAACGCATCTGCAATATCGGTTGTTTATGTGCAGCGGTCGCTTTCCATTTCGGTGGATTCAGGTGGCCGCTTGCTCGTTTGCCACCTCGTATTATAAAAAAAAAAGTTAATTGACGCAGGAGGCGCCTATAAAGAGGATATTTCTCCTTCTTATGCGTCTCCTCCAAAAATTTCCGTTTTCATCCTCTTATTAGAAAAAGAGTGAGAGGGAAAAGAGATTTAAAATTAGGTCTCCGGTGCACAAACTTATTTTTTTATTTATTATCTACTAGCTGTTGACGTGCGGCTTCATCCGCATGAAATTATAAAAAACTTTATTTTATTGCTTACATTTGTCAAATTCTCAATTGAAAATGTTAAATTACCGTTACCATTATAACCTTGCTTCTTTAATGTTGGCAGCTTGTAGTTTATGGTCTCACTTTCCCGCATTGGAGTTTTTTCCCAATTTACCCCTATGTTTAATAGCCTAAAGCCTGTTGTAAGTGAAGGGCTTTATATTAAAGAAGAAATTATTCGAAAAAATGCTGTGATTGCCTTCTACGCCTCGAAGTAGTATGTTTTTACGCTTTATTAGTATGCATATAGATATAGATATTTGAGAGTATCCCCAGTAGTAGAGAAGATAAGGAGTAAAAGGTTAGCATGGTATGAGAAGATAAGAAGTAAAATGTTAGCATGGTATGAGAAGATAAGGAGTAAAAGGTTAGCATGGTATGAAAAGATAAGGAGTAAAATGTTAGCAAGGTATGGGCATGTGAGGAGGGATGAATCGCATGTTACAAGGAGAACGTTAGTTATGAGTGTGGAGGTACCGGTAGAGGTAGACATAGGAAGAGATGGATTGCGTGAAAGGTGACATGATCAAGAAGGGAGTGATGACTGAGATGACGTATGATAGAGTTAAGGAGGACAAAAACCTGTTGCGTCGTCCCTATGGGAGTAGGATAAGGAAGATGATGGTGATGGTGATAGAGACAGATATAGTGATGTCCGCGCAGGGCTGAACCACGGGCCGGTGATCGCGGGCGTGGTGGGCGCGCAGAAGCCGCAGTACGACATCTGGGGCAACACCGTCAACGTCGCCTCGCGCATGGACTCCACCGGCCTCATGGGCAGGATACACCTCACTGACCACACCGCTAAGTAACACCTTACTTACTAACTTAGAGAAAAAAAAATATTTTTTTTTAGTTGTTAAATTCCTATGAGTTATCTTTACTAAGCAAAGATTTTCAAATACATATAGAGTAGGCATTTGATGCTCCATTTTAGACATTTTTCACATAATCTCACTAACAATGTCTATTGATTGTATTTAAATGAATTGCCAATAGATGTCATTAAATAATATATCTAACTGTAGCTCGCGACTTCGTCCTTATAAAATAAAAAGGAATAGTAAAAAAATAGCCTATGTTACTTACAAATAAATAACCTTTCTAATGGTGTAAGAATTGTTTAAATCGGCCCAGAGGTTTTTACGTGTATCGAATACATACGAAAATACAAACCTTTCGTCTTTATAATATTAATATAGATAAGAAGGAGCTTATTATAATTTTGTAAAATCTTTTATCACTATAAATACAAACGAGGTGACACTAACCTTGACAACTAATTTAGTACCTTTCAGAGAAATTACCACTGAAAAAAATTTCTTTACAGTCTAGTCTGTTATTTCTTATATGTCCTTGATGTTAAGCAACTTCTTCAATAAGCTTTTATTAAATTTTATTTTACCACATTTATGTTATTGATTTTATATGCAATATATCTTTTTTAACGTTTTAAAATCTACCTTTTTAGGGTACTGATGAACGTGGGATACACTTGCGAGTGCAGAGGTCCAACTTTCGTCAAAGGAAAAGGCACTTTAACGACATATTTCGTGAAGACGCCAAACTTTACTGGTGGGATATAATTTAATATAGATATCTAACTTAATAATTAAATTTAAACCTTATTCTAACCATATAAAGGTTATTTTCAGTGTTTCTCAATATACCTTAAGATTTTTTGTAATTTCTGTGAAATATTGCATATCTGATATTTTATAGGTTAGAATGGCCTATAAATTTACTAAAACTTTATTTATTGTAAAGTTAATATTATGTGGAAATTCAATTTCTTTGTATCTGTATAATTTCATTTATAATCCGGCTCGAAGGACCAAGAAATAGACAAATTATTTTATTAAACCTCTTCATTTTTTTTTATTTATAAACTTTTATTATAAACATATTTGTATGAGTGTTTTTATGCTTAAATTATTTTCAATATTTTATAGTTAATAGATCTAGGCCTAGTTAATTATTATAAATGTTATTTTTTTTTTGTAATGGTCAAAGACCTATTTAATTTTAGACATTATTTGAAAATTATGGAGTAAATTTAGACAATTTAGAGATATTTATTTCATATAATAAAAAGATTTGTAAATATATTTTAATATATAACTAAGACTTCAATTAATATAGTTTTATGTTCTTAATAATGTAAATATTAAATCATAATAAAAAACTCTAATGATATTTGTCATGTATTTCATAAAACATTTTTTCAATAATTTTAAAATTCAATTATCTACATAATATTATGCATTTAAATAGTCAAACGTATCTACATTTTATCAAAATATAGAAAAATAACCAATTTTATTGCTTTAGCAAATTAAAAAACTCATTATTATTGTAACAGTAACTAGAGTAATACATGTAAATATTTAGATTTAGTTAATTACTATGCAACCACTACAACATGACACTTGGAAGCTAATTTTTGACCGAATTTCCAAAAGAAGGCGGTACTCTATTCGTCTGTATGTTTTTTTATTTATTTTTTATGTGTGTTACGGCATAACTCCGCCGCTAGTGGACCGATGTTGATAATTCTTTTTTTATCCGAAAAAGTGGGTCCCTTTTAACTCACTTATTGTAGACTTTTAATTTATTATCTTTAATCAATTTATAGGTAATCCTAAAGAAATAAGTTAAAATGTCTATAGTTTGTTATATGCATATTTTTCTGGATTAAAAGTTGTAATAAAATATAATTGTACATAAATACATCAATTTTGTGTAGTATAGGATAGTATTGTTTAAATAATTTGGTCTAATAACTTAGAATGAAATATAATCCATATCGATAATTTGTTTCATTTCTTTAAGATTATTTCGAATTCAAAATCATAAATTAAATCGATTAATAAGTGCCCTGAATTATTTTTTTTAAGACTCGAGGGAAATTGTAATTTTGCATATCCCCTCAGACGTCCACCCACAATAACGGGCGGCGTTCAAATGAATTTGAATTTCGAATTTCGACTGAGATATAAAGCGGTTAATTGGTAATTGTTGGTTGCCAGTCCCGGCCACCTACGTATCCTTTGATTTATAGCCCGCACCGCCTTGGTATATGGATCATTGTTAATGTATGGAAAAATGGAAGTAATCATCTATTTGCAATAACAAGAGATAACTTTAAACAATTAGTTTACACAACTTTTAGAAAACAATTTTCTTTTCATTAAACTCAGTTTTGTTAATAAAGTGCGCCTGTGAAAAAATAATAGCAAAACTCTTTTTTTAACAAAGTTGCTACGTCCTTTTTGTTTACTGTTTCAAAAATAAAAAAAAATTTGAAAGTATAAAATCACGTACGAAATATGTAACAATTTCTAAGTTTCGTCCCTTCCCAGTCAAAATATAGATTAATTTACTTGGTCTAGTTAACGTGAGAACATTTACATTGATTGTAATTATAGTTCTGAAGATTATTAATTGTTCTACACATAATAATAGACTTTGTGTTAAACAATTAATATTGTTAATGACCGGGGCTGGGAAGTCATATTTCATTATTATTACTCACTTTGTTATGCACGCCAGTAATCGAAAGAGACAATGAAACACGAAAATAAGAAAAAAAAGAAGTAGAAAGGATATAACTGGACTGCAGGTTAAGTACAAGTACGTATTTAAAAAAAAAACTTCTTTCCATAAATAGAAATAAAACGTAGAGTTTAAATTTTTTCAAACTCTTTTTATGGTTATTAAATGTAAAATCAATTTATTAATACGTGTTTAAATAAGGTTAAGTGCAATGTAAACCTGACCGGAAGTCAAGGAACAATAATATCTCGGTTGAATTATTGCGCGCCAGTTATTCGGTTATGACGAATCGTCTCATATATTATTACTATAACAAAAGGCAAAGAATATGCGAATGATGTTTGCATGATACAGATGTGATATTTGGTACTACGTAAATGTGAAATTTAAATTTAAAATTAAATTTCTTATCCTAGACGCCCAAAGTTGCAGTTTTGTTGTTTGATTTAATTTAAAGAAAGAAAATGTATTGGAGTTTCTAAAAGGATCTTAGATTAAATCGCACATCAAATAAAGAAAAAAGAGTAAAATGAGTAAGGTACCACTATACTATAAATTGAACTACATCTGTTTGAAACTCTCAGAGACTGGATACGGTTAGGTATAACTTACAACATTTTCATTGTATACTCTTTGCATGCTACTGGGAGTCCTGGACAAGGGAGATAGTGCATCTAAGGCGGCGGTAATCCAAAGATTAATGTAACGCCTCCTCCCGGCTACTGGTGTTGCCTTAAGGGTCCATACAAAGTGCTGGAGTTATTCTATGAGCATTTAATATTATAATATATAGAGACAAAATTTAATAAAAATAAATTACTGCTGTCACAACTAGGTTTAAAGACGCGATTAAGACGCTTTTTAACTTTTCGGAAACGTTTAATACGTTAAATAATTATACCTTTTTTTTTTTTGGTAACGGGGGGGAAATCTTCGAAAGATACCCTGTCTTTTGTAAAAAAACAGGGTTATGTGAGATTTCTACACTCTAAAAACCCCCTCGATGGCCGCTCTCAGGTGCGAATTGAGGGTCCCGGGATCTCCAGTGGTACGCACCGGTACCCCCTGCACCGTGTTGCTTTCGTCGCTGCTTATTTTTGATAAGCTGGGCCCAACCTATCTACACCCAAACTGAGGCCAGCCCTTAATGCTCCCTTTAACCCAATTTCGATAAATAATTATACCTAGTTCTTAATAATGACTTAGTTAGCCATCAGCTTAAAACGTCATCAATGAAGGACTAGTCTACCCTGTGTTAGGATGCTCGTATGTACTCAGCAACGAGGGTTAAGTGTGGTTTTTAAACATACTTACATCTTTGACTCGAATGAAAATCAAGTTATAAAAAAAAAATCACAGATAACTAAAAAAATATTGCTACAAACAGTATAGTATTGCTTTAGGTATTATAATAGCCCCAGTTAAGTGTCCGTTTTGACATGGCCACCGTAATTCATACCAGCAATTCTACTAATTGGCGAGTAAGGTCTGTATTTACAGCATTGCTTTATGACTGCTCTAAATAAATATCTCGATTTGTATCTGCAATCTGCATACCGAGATATCAATCGATATTTACTATACTTTTAGGCGATCAGGTGTGTGATGTTTTCACGTACAAGTTTCCCATTCGATTCTGTTTAAACAGTTTAGTCGATTTTAGTTATCAATTTTGGATCTTATTTTTCACAGTTGGTAATTTGAGATAAAGTTTAAATTAAGTTATTAATTAATACAATTATCGAAAACTGTGATAATTTGCCGAGTTCTCGAATAATCATACTTCGTACTAATTTAAAAGCGAAAGTTTGGATCAATGAATGGATTGATAGGTGTTTGTTATTCTCCAAAACGGTATACAGAGTTTTGATGGAATTTGAAACAAATATAACCTCTAAAGTTTTGAAAAATCCTGCTTGCTTCCTGGCGTTAGATAAATACGACATAACAATGCAATTCTCTCCAAGTATATCAATAGAGTGGAGAAACATCCTTCGAGAGATTGTCAAGTAGAGTGGTCGCGACTCGCGACCCTCTGGAATGAGAAAACGATCTGGAGAAAGAGAAATGTCTATCAATAAACAACTCTTCGGTTGAAAGAATGTCAAAAAGTAATTATTTATAACGATAGATCAAAAATTTATATTGTTTTTAAACGCGGATGTGTTCTTGAGACGGTCCACAATAAAGCCGATGGTTTATGTGATGCGTTTATAAACAGCACATCGGTGACGGTCTTTATTGCGGCTGATTGTGACGTTGCCTTTAAATGAGACATAAAATTGATTTGTGCTTTTTAATGTCCATAACTTTGGAGGAGCCTATTTGTCGACTTATAACTTCCTTGAGGCAAGGTTCACGGGTGTATAATATACCTTTCTTAATAAACGAATACTTAATGGGTCGATCATTAGTGTAGTTTGACTAAGAATTATACGCGTATAGTTGGATCAATTAGTATTGGCTATTTCAGTTTACAGGGCTGGAATCACAGTCGCCTTACGCACTAAATAAAACATAGAAAAAAGGTGAAAAGACGGAATGACTAAACTTTAAACGCTTACAGAAAATTACCTAACATTAATAAATAGTACTTGTTTATTTTTGTACTATTAATATAAATCGTTTGTTAATAATAACATCTACGCTTCAAAGTTAAGAGTACCTACAGCCTTGGTTATCCCAACATAATTATTTATTAGCCGTGCGCAGTTTTGCCGATGACCCTTCTATTAAATCCGAACACTTCCCGCGCTATTCTACACCCTCAAACAGTGACATCAGCCATCGGCAAAGTAATGCTCACGAGTAACATAATAAAAATCAGACAAAACACAACATTGTAAATCGTATGTATACGTATAAAATTTTTGCAATCTCTTTACTTGGTCTGGAAACGGATGCACAAATAAATAAATCATCTCAAAGGTCGTATGCGTCATTTCGTTTTAATAAATGATCCCGTTTTATATGGAGCGGCCTAAAGGTGTACCCACACGGGAAAGTGTACCGAGTTAGCTTGATATTTGAGACATCGCTTCGAAGGAAACAGTTAACAAAATAATAAATTACCTTATACATCTTTTAAATATACTGAATGCAGAACTTTATATCTGTTTAGCTCATGTTGT